TTTTACGCTTAATTTCTATTTAAAATTCACTTTTATAGAAGGTAATATTTGGTCATGGACCATTATTGGCGAATGGTCCATATAGTTGGGATTATACAAAAATAATCAATAGTTGGGATTATTGTTAGCGGACCGGCAATAGTTGGGATTATTATTTTCAATTTTTCCTATATTATACTTATATGTCCCTTAAAAATTTGTCAACTTTGAATTTTAAAGTCAATTGTGGTAAAGTTTAGATCATGATTTTGATTAGTGTAGTATTTGAGAAGTTGTAAAATTTATACTTTTATGAATTTTTTTTTAACAAAAATATTTTCATATCATTTTTATATTATAAATAACTTCCTACAATAATACATAACTGATCAAAGTTGAACTTCATTGACGAAAAAATTCAAAAATGACATAGTTTTAAGGGTTAAATACGTAGATATTACTAAAACACAACCGTTTTCCTAATGTATGACTAACTATGTTTTTGTATGTTTGGTATGACTACATATCATTAAAATCATGGACGAATGGATGGTATAATTAGGGAAATAACAATAATACCCTTATAATTAAATAAGCATTGAGAAAGAGAAGAGTTACGGTTTGAGAAATATGCGCCAATAATTATGGAAGCAGATGTTGACTGGTATGCATAGGCAGTAATTAGAGAACAATAAATAAATGTGCAATAAATTATAACAATAATAGAACATAAATTTACAAATGACAGTAAATATGTAATGACAGTTATATTGACATAGGCAGTAAGCCAGTAACTTAAGGACAATAAATAGAATATTTATATACGTTGGAATGGTAAATCATTGCATTCAATATATGATCCATAAATGAAATAGACAGTAAACACAAAAAGGAAGTAAATGTGTAATAGGGCAGTAATTATGCAAGAGGGCAGTAAATGGCAATATGGCATAGGTGGCAATAACTCTATTTGTACCTAAAATTACAAATACGCATGTATTAGGAAGTGAATCGATTGTGGGTTTCCAAAAATATAAAATACAAGTACATACTACTCCGTAATAATTAAGGAAGCGGTTACCATATTAAATAAACTACTTATTTTTAGGAATACTAATTCATAGACACCCTAATTAATTGGTAACTAGTAGAAGAGACGTGCATATCAGTTAGGCGACTAAATAGGAACAAATAAATACTTGTAGAGGGCAGCCGTTGAAATATTAATAAAAGAATAATGATCATGCACGTGAGATGATAACTGATAAGTAGTTGTCATTTATTGGGAATAATAACTATAGAGTCATATATTGGGAAAGACATATGGTTTTAGTTATACGGTGGATAATTTTCTCTAGTTTTAAGGGGCGGAGGGGGCATATGCAAGTGTGAAGTGTTTATCTAACACTCTTTATTCAAATAGAATAAAAAAAAAATAAAAAAGGGAGAAAAAGAAAAGAAGAAAAAAACAAAAAAAAAGTTTAGGGTGTTCAAATTATTATTTTTATTATTTAAAATAATAAGCCAAAATTGAATTACACTCAACAACACTGAATTTGTCATGTAGCAACTGGAACAAAATATATCATCTTTTTTTACATGAGATAATTACTCCACATATTACTAAAAATTCACCACTTTCTCAATCTATGACCTAATGAGTTTTTTTTCTCAGATTTCCGGCCTGGGAGCGCCGATCTGGAGCTCCATGGCTGAGATTCACACCTCCCTTCCATAGACGCCAGGCCTGGGAGCGCCGATCTAGAGCCCATGGATGAGATTTGCTTCAATCTCTTCACAGACGTTAGCCTGGGAGCGCCAATATGGATTATGGAGCCCCATGATGAGATTCGCTTCATTCCTTCCACAAATGTCAGGCCTGGTAACGCCGATATGGGACCCATGGAATCGTGGATGAGATTTGCTTCATTGGCGGCTCTGGATTTGAAATTACACGCACAAATTCTTCCTTTTACTATACATTTTTTTAGTTTAGGATCTGTTGGAACGAGCATTGAACATGAGAAGTGAATATGAGCATTGAGATTGGACAGTGAACACGGGAATAAAAAGTGATGAACATGGTCAGTGAGTATGTCGATACATATGTTGTAAATGGTAGTGAAAGAATGCATTAAAAAAGTTTATTATGCGGTGATTATGACTGCAGTAATGCATAATAGTATTGCCACCATAAAATGCTATACTTAATTAGACATAAAATATTAAAATTATTAAATATAAAAAATAAAAACTATAAATAAAATCCTAAAGTGAAAAAGAAAGAAATAAATTTTTGCGCCAATGCAATGATCATTACCGGGTGTGCATTAATGTAGTGCAGTAATTTTAATTGCACAAAATTAGTGCAAAGTCCACAAAAATAAGGGTATTTTATTCATTCAATCTTTAAATATAAACGACTTTTCTTTATTTTTTGGATTTTCGGTCATACAAAATTCTAAAAAGTAGTCATATCATACATTGGAAAACTCATTAAGTTTTAGTCATATTCTAGAAAAATTCCCCTTTTATATCTGAAACTATGAAAGACCATCATTCACCATCACAACAGAGCTTGTGACAATATTGGATTAAACTAAAATGAAATGATATATATTAATCATATGTTGGTTTAAAAATAAAACAACACAGTAGATTTGTTTTTGGGACACTAAACAATGAAAAGTAAGACACATAATTACAAATAGACGGAGAGAATAGTAAAGTCATTTTCTCGACAAAATATACTTTGAACACTCGTTCCGTCCTGCTAAGATTGTCCCTTTTTTTTCTTTTCGGCCCGTTTCACAGAGATGGTCTCATACCAAATTTGGTAAATTTTGTGTGATCCAAATCATTCCTATTTTATTAATTTAATATCAATCACGTAATTACCTCACTTTTCTTAGTAGTTGTGCCATCTCATAATGCTCCAATGTTAGTGAGGCAAATGCATTATAAATTTTCCACAATCTAGTAGTTTTGGTCGACTCACACGCTTCAACCAGACTTTCATCAATTTTAGTAGTTTCAATCAATTTAGTAAATTTTAGTGTTACCAAACACACTTTAAATTGTTTATTTTTTTTGGAATAAAATTGATTATAGTAAAAATATGTACGGTTTTTAGAAGTGTACAGTAACATTATAAGATGAGAATTATAACAAATGTGTACGTAGTATTATTTAAATTTAGAAATGTACACTAACTTGATAAATGTTTAAAAATGTTTTTACAATATTCTAATATGGTATGATAGATGAATAATTTGCGTGTATTTTATAATTGTCAATGTCTAGTGATCTAATGAGATATTTGATTGAAATAAGTAAAATCTAAAGAATCTTTTAAATCTTAGAAGGTGTTTACTTCGTTGCAAAAGTCACAATTATGTTAGTAGGACATATGAAGTAAACACGCAAGCTGCTTAAAAAACTGCTTACTAACCGAATGATGTGCTTAAAGTGCCACTTACTGATCATATCACTCCCCATTTGTTAATTAAGCACCACTTTAAACTTTTTCATTTTCAGAATACACCCTTACCCATTACCCCCTACCTACCTTACTTCGATCCCCTAGCCTAACCCCCGACCATACCCCCTTACTCCACCCCACCCCACTTACCCTACCTCTACACCCCTGCCACCTGCCCCTACCTTGACCCCGCCCGACCCTGGCCCACCCCCACCCCTTGCCCTTTACACCTTTCTAACCCCATACCCCCTTACCCCCCGATCCGGACCCGACCCCCAACGTAACCCTACCTGACCCTAACCCCTTTACCCCTACGACCTTCCCCTACCCTGACCCCACCCCCGAACCTCACCCCGACCCATCCTACCCTACCCTTGACCATATCCCAACCCCTTCCCTACCCCGACCCCTACACCCTAACCTTTACCACCCACCCCCGACCATACCCCTTACCCTATCCCCCACCAGCGGCGGACGCAATGATTTTCAATTGGCGGGGCAGCAGTGTAAAAAAATACATATATATTAAAATTTTGGGTTAAATATACCTAGGATTTTTTTGGGAGGGACAGTGGCTCCCATTAGCCACTGTCTGTGTCCGCCACTGTCCCCCACCCCATCATGTACCCAATTTACCCCACACCATCCGCCCCTACCTCAACCCCATCCCAACCCCGACCCACCCCTTACGAGTATGGGTTGTGGGTTGTATGGGGTTTTAGGGGAGTAGGGGTAAAAGGTAAGGTTGTGGTAAGGGTAAATGTATGAAAGGGTTAATGGTGTAGAATTGGGGGTAGGTGTGGGGTAGGGGTAGGTGTGGGGTAGGGGTAGGAGTAGGGGTAGGGTACAGGGTAGGTTAGGGGTATGTAGGGGTATGAGTACTTTCACATATATAAAGTTATTTTGGACATTTTAATGTTAAACGATGTTTTAAATCATTTGAAATAAACATAAACTTACAACACTGCTTATTTTATGCGCCGTATTCGTGTCCTATTTGCATGGTCCAGCAAGCTTCTCCAAGCAATACTTCCACAAATTTTCAAACTTAGTTTGACAAAAGAGAGTGCAAGCCAAAGTGGCATCTCTGCTGAGTGCTAACGTAAGCCCTAGGCTCGTCCGTATGCTAACCTAAGCCGCAGCGCGCATTACCAATCCTTCTCACTCCCACCATGCCCGGAGTCTCCCTCAAACTCAACGCTGTGGCTGCCTCTATTTACTGCTCCCGAAATCCTTGCAATCGTCTCCGTCATCTCACCCCTGCCGCCATAAACCTAAGATTACCGGTGGTTCCGACGCGCGCCTGGTGGCGGAGGCTAACGATTCCGCACCGGACGAACGATCGATTCCTCCACGGTCAATTCTATCGCGTTGAAAAACATTCTTCTCATATTGCTGTCAGGAGCATATCTGCCGCTCACATGGGCTCTGACCCCGACAACAAGGGAGACGAATGGTTGGATGCATCATCGCCGCCTCCGACAAACCAACGCTGTCAAAAGCCCTCTGCGCGCCCACCACCCGCTGCTAAATTGCTCACGTTGCCTACTATCTTGACAATTGGCCGGGTTGCTGCAGTTCCGCTTCTCGTAAGCAGTAAGTTCCGCAGCCAATGATGTTTCAGGCGTCCCTTTTCTGTTTTTGGCTGTCTATATATATGCCCTCCTCATTTGTTTTGAAGATTATTATCTGTTTTCTTTGTTTTTGGCTGGCTGACCTTTTCTGACTTTTATATATTCTGCGCGTCTTGCAGAATCTATTGCACTAAAAAAATAGTTTTTCACCCACCATTGGAAAAAGTTATTCCGTATGTTGTACCATCTCAGAGGAGTAATTGTTGTTCTGTACACATTTTGCATCCCATACAATTCACATAATGGGGTTTTTCATCTCCCTACCATGTTTTGCCTCTGCAGGCACTATTTAGCCACATTCAGTACAAAACATATAAAAAAAGCAGCTTTAGAGTTTAGAGTCAGTATCACGAGGTTAAATTGAAAAGGTTATCTTGGCTAAAGATCTTAGCTCCATCTCCTTATGATATTTGTGTGTTTGCTGTCAAGTTTTTTCTTTGCAATGATTTACTGAAGAGAGACATATTTATTTGGATTCTTTTCGGTTACTTTGTGTTACTGCTCTAATGGATCAGAATCATTGCTGTAAAATCGTGATTTATATCATCGATCTTTTGATTACTATTTTAACCATGACTTGTGAATTATCATGTGTATCAGAAGCATAATATTGATAAAGCCCCTAGATAAAAAATTGATCCCCAGAACATTAAGGAAATGCTTTCAAAATTCCATACATGTAATTATGTACATAAATTTAAGACCTGAGATGGGGTGGAGGTCAACTATTTAGTGATGGTGTAGAAGATGAGAGATATCAGACGGTGCAATTTCAGTGGGGATAAGGGTCAGTTTGGTCCTCGAAGTTGCAAAAAAGGGGTCAAATAAGTCCTTATATAGAAAAATCTGTCCGGACGTGCCATTTGAGGTCACTCCCGGTGGAATTTTTTGATGAAATTTTTTGAGCATCTTATTCATTAAGTCTAGTTTACTCATACCAAATTTTAGATAAAAATTCAATCGGGAAGACATTCAAATGAATTCTTGAAGATAACTGTGCCGTTAAAAGCGCTGTTATCTTCAAGAATTCATTTGAATGTCTTCCCGATTGAATTTTTAGCTGAAATTTGGTATGAGTAAACTAGACTTAATGAATAAGATGCTCAAAAACATTTATCACAAAATTCCACCGGGAGCCACCTCAAATGGCACGTCCGGACAGAATTATCTATATAAGGACTTATTTGACGCCTTTTTTGCAACTTCAAGGACTAAACTGACCCTTTACTCAATTTCAGTGTATAGAAACCGGATGTCAATTCATGCACAAACAGCACATGTCCCTTCATAACCTTTTTAACTTTGACAAGTTAATTCGTGAGATACTGAGTGTGGGGGGGGGGGGGGTCAATCAGTACCACTTGTATTAATAGCTGACATGGAATTAGACCAATTCTTATGATACACACCAGATTCTTTTTCATGTCAGATAGAAATATGTCTCAGTATCATTGGAATTTTGGATCAAATTGAATCGTGTGCTATGTTTAGTGTATCAGAATATGTGTAGATGTAAATTTCCATGTGTTAATCTACTGCCTAAGTCTTTATCCTGGCTGTCATATTTACATATGGAGTAAAAGATGCTCCATATATACATATAAATCATCTTAGGGTTTAATCCGTTTCATTAAGATTTCACCTTTTTCCTACGTTCTTAAACTTTACAGTTTTTATTTACTTTTGCCATTGAGAAAACCAGTGTGAGGTGAAAGCTTGTAACTACAATCTAATTAGAAAATGTCAAAACATGTTTGCATTTAACCGTGTTCTTTCTATTGAAATCCATTGTGGGCTCTAATATTTGGGTCTTCGGCTGAAGTTTGATCACTCGGAGTATTTTTTTACTATTGGATATCTTTCTTCTAAGGAAAATGTTGAGGATCTTGGTGTCCTCAAACAAAATTTTAAAACTGAACTGAAAAATGAAGTTGAGCCTAATCAACCCCCAGTAAAAATTTATAAAATGCATGACCCAAAAGACATTACAAAGTGATTATTCATCCCTTGCTGATAATTCTAAATACTTTTAATGATTTTCATTTTCTGAAACAGTTGTGGAGACCATTATTTTGTCGTTTTCAGTTTCTTATGAACTTCGTTTTCCATTTTTTGTTTTCCAATACTAAACAGATCTTTTTTGAAAGAGCATTTTCATCTTTTTATGTGCTTGGAATATCTAATAACTTATTCTAATGTTTTTTTGTGTGTTTAAAATGAACTATATCTAAGAATGTTTTCTTTTGGACTGTTTTTAGTCCCAGACCAGATTTCCATAGTTATAAAATACACAGAGACCAGTTCAGACCAGACCAGACCAGCAAATTTCAGTCCAAAAGAAAACATCCTAAATTGTTAGGTAGTAACTCTCAGATTGTGTAGGGGTTTTCTCCTTTTCTGCTATTCATGTTTAGAACCTAATTTAAATTGGCCTTGTTGCATGTGAAAACTAATTTGGATATTCTAAAACTAGCCTTCTATGTGGATAGCTGGTGGGGACCAGCAACCACAACTGCTATCTTCATTGCCGCAGCAATTACTGATTGGCTTGATGGTTATATTGCTCGGAAGGTACACATCCGTGCTCTTTTATATACTAATTGTAAAGAGAAGATCTGTGTTTGAAATTTACAACTCAAACTTACAAGTTTCATGGCTCAACTCTGTCCAGCTGAATTTGGGGACTGCGTTTGGTGCATTCTTAGACCCAGTCGCTGATAAGGTATTCTCCTTAATGCGAATTATTTTTCCTCTGGAATTTTGAGTAGCTGAAGATGCATTTGTCTTTCAAAGTAGAGGAATTTTTCCATATGGATTGTGGAAGTATTTAATGTATTTTTCTTTACCTGCAGCTAATGGTTGCTGCGACCTTGGTCTTATTGTGTACCAGACCTTTGGAAGCTAGTTTTTTTGGACAGTTTCCATGGTTGCTAGCTGTTCCTTCAATAGCTATTATTGGTAGAGAGGTAAATTGCCCTTTTTTTCTTTTTTAAATTGTATTTTACTCTTCCTATTAGTTGAGTGAATTTTCTGATGTGTATAATTTCTCTCTTAGGAGGTAAGTGAACATTTATTTCAAGTTTGGCTTAATTAGTCTGATTGCCAACTCTGTCATAATTGTATTTTGAAGCAAACTCCTGGAAATGGTTTAGCTTCTGCACTTTATTATTATGTTTTTCTAAAGTAGAGATTTGAATGTGGACTTTTTGCATAAGGTCCTGTTTGTGTATTTGGAAGCTTTTAAACCCGTGGTGGGGTTACCCAATTCACAGGCGGCATGTGAGTTGTAAGACTTTCGTAACACATCAGGTGCTAAATAATGTTAGGAGGTAAATCGAGGGGGTTTGTATATGACATTCTTTTACAGTATCCTATAAGGCTATAAGTGCCTTTTGAAGCCCAAATTCTGATACAGCTCCTCCTTGAACATAGATGCTGAAATTGATGCCTACTGAAAATGTGCAAATAGGTACTGCAAGCAGTAGAATACATGCATGCAAATGAACCAGCGACCTAGGAACTGATGTTAATGTTTATTTCCTGCTTCATTGGCTCCATTTTAACTGCAATGATATGACAATCAGAACTCAGGAGTCATACTTGTTTTTAATGCATAACAAATTGCATGTGCAGATTACAATGTCTGCTGTTAGGGAATGGGCAGCCTCTCAAGGCAGCAAGCTCTCAGAGGTACAAAGTTTTTTACTTGGGACTGGTATATTCATTTGGATGTTTATTTGTGGCTCTATTTGACTGATTTAGGGTACTTTGGAACCCATAAATGACTGGGGAATGTAGAATATTTGATTATGAAGGTTATTTTCTTATGTTGGTTTTATCATGGAAAATTCTAAAGGAAAATGAAATACTATTATCTTTTCATTCTAACTTAGATATATTTATCTTTCTCAGGCTTTGCATAATAGATATATCAATAAAACGAGCATCATATAGTACCTAATAAATTGATTGAGGTTCAGCCTATCTTTTATTTTTCTTTGTATATTATTTCCATACAATTTTCTTTAAATTCTGTTTTGGAAGGAAGAAAATGCTAGGGAAGGAAAGTAGAGAAGAAATTATAGGGGAAATTCAGAAGGAAAGTTAATATCGAGGAGAATAAAACACCGTTTCAAACTCATTGATTTTACTTTTAATATGTGTGTATATGTTATTATTTATTTTCTTAATATATTAATACTAAGCAATCTAACCATATCTAAAAGTTTCAAAAACATTATTCGCATTTAATTTGTTCTTGGGTAAACCCACACATAAAAAAATGCATTTCCATAACATTTTCTTTCCTTTTCACTAGTACTTTCCGGGTTCCAGACTTCGAGGGAAACCCTTGGTGTTTTCTTTCCCTTTATATTTCCATATTCCCCTTTAGAGATCCAAACATACCCTTGAGGTTCCTATGTTTTATTGTGCAGGCTGTTGCTGTGAATAGCTTGGGAAAGTGGAAAACTGCCACACAGATGACTGCATTAACCATCCTCCTTGCCGCGAGAGATAGCAGGTGAGTTTGATTTATCTTGAAATTTAGATTTCCGCAATATTACTTAACTACTGAGGGCTGAGGATCCCCAAATAAATAAGTACCCGAATAATACGGAGTCATAAATAAGCCTTTCTTTACTTTTTTCCCCTATCCAGTCTAGTTGAAGCAGGAACACTTGCAAGCTCTGGTGTGATTTTGCTCTATATCTCAGCATGGCTTGCCGTTTGGTCCTTAATTGTGTATATGAAGAAGATATGGAAAGTTTTGTTACTATAGGTGTATTGATATATACACTCATTCAAATTGCCATACCTCATCGCATACTGAAAGCAGTGTAACTTTCATTCAAATTGCCATATCTCAGCACAGGGGACTTTCTTCTCCGTTTGTCCAAAATATGGATAAGTTATTAGCTGAGGTAACTTGCTTGTGTACCATACAGCTGGGGGAATACACGAGCTTTCTCCGGCTCCATTGCTAGCAATCCTTGAAGCCATTTTTTTTTAGAATGGGGAAGTATTTTTGTACTCATTATTTTTTGTAATTTTTTGGTAATCTATAGTAGTTATTCTGTAACCTTCTGTCCATGAAATGTTACATCCTATATGTGTTAGAGATATTTAGGACAGCCTCAACTAGAATATGTGTGGGAAACAGCAAACTCAAATAATCCTTGCCTTGTCTCGTATCAGTAATTTGGATGGATATACAAATATATTTATCAGAGGTTAAGATTTTTGCCTGTTTTCTTTGGTCCCTGAAGATAGAACCTTAACCGGTGTGATTCTGGTGCTGGTTGGGGTTTTATCCGGATTTTTATCTACTCCGTATGAGTTAATCAATTTACAACTACATTTTTTGGTAAAATTTTACAACTACATTTGGAAACACTGGGACCCATTGCTGCAGGACTGTTTCCAAGAAACTATAACTGAATCTAGGCATGGACCAAACTGGGTCCGGGCCTAGGCCTGGTCGGGCCTTTTGTGTTAAGGGGAAGGCCCGGGACCGGCCCGGGTTGCCACTGGGTCTGGTTCGGGCCAGGCCTCGGGCCTGGTGGTAATATTTCTTTTCTTTTCTTTCCTAAGTACCCCCTGACCCCCCCCCCCCCTCTCCCCAAACCCCCCAAAACCTTCCAAAACTGGCAAAACATCAAAAGCCCAACCCGGGAATCCCAATAAAACCGAAAAAAACAAAAAACAAAACATTTTTGGGCCTGAACCGGGCCTGGGCCTGCCCGGGCCGGGTCCCCATTTCAGCAGCCCGAGCCCGCCCCGCTTTGTCCTTTCAAACCGGGCCAAGGACCGGTTTCGGACCCAAGGTACAGGGCCAGGCCGGTTCCTGGTCCGAGTGGCTTGAACCGGGTCCATGCCTAATTGAATCGGGCAAATATAAAATAGAGAAAAGGTACAAATATATCTTTCTAGTACGGGGTGTTGGAACATATACTCATATTCTATTTTTTGGAGCAAATATACCTCGGAAGTTTATGTGGAAATGCATATATACCTTTAAACTTTTAGTTTATGTGGAAGTGCATAGATATCATTAAACTTTTAAAAGGCGCAAATATACCCTTCATGTTCTGATAAAAGAGCAAATGTATCCTTATTGGCTTTAAATATATAAAATAAATTTCTAAAAAACACCAAAAATAAATTATAAATTTGAAATTTAAAAATAAAATAAAAATAAAAAACTACTTTTGTCCAATTCGCCCTTTTATCATTTTTATATCACCATTTAATATTCTTAGTATAAAATATTATTTTAAAACTTTACTATATAATAATTTTGCAACAAGACTAAAGTTGATATTCAAGTGCTTCATTAACGATGAAAAAATAATAATTTTGCTATTTAAAATGAAAAAGTTAATATTTTTAACATGAAAATAAGTAAACTTTTATTTTGTACTCTTCAATTTGTAATTTTTCAATTTAGAATTTATAGTTTATTTTAAGTGTTGTTAAGTTTATTTTATTTATTCAAAGTCAATAACGGTAAATTTGTTCCTTTATATGAACATGAGAGGTATTTTTGCACATTTTAAAAGTTCAGGGGTATATATGCACACCCACATAAACTTCAAGGGTATATTTATTCTGAAAAATAAAATTGAGGTATATTTATTCTCACACCTATACTACACGAATGTATTTGTACCTTTTTCCCTTTAAAATACTGGGCAGTTTTAGCTCTAAATTGGGTAAAAAAAAATGCTCAGTCCAGATCTTGTTCCCATATCAGAATCCGGGCTTATTTCATTTGTCAAAGTTAATGCTATGGCAGTCCAATAATAAGTGAGGCTAATTCTATCTAGTATGCATTTTATTTTTTGGATATTTAATAATTTGTTGTATTTGAACTACTTGATTATAATTTTTTAATTGGTTCATGTAGAAAACTACCGTACTTCCATTGTACCATAGAAATTGTCTTACATTTTCCTTAATATTCTAATTAGTACTACCTCCGTCTTGATGGTTCTAGTTCATATTCACTTGATCAAACCTCGTAAACTGCAACAGGACCATCCAATTGGGACAGAAGGATTATTAGATTAAGAGACGTCCATTGACGTTGAAATTGACTGAATCCAATAAAACTTCTAAATCACGGCTAAATTAGTTTAATCTATTGGATTCATCTAGTGAATCATGCAAAGTTATATTTAAAAGTATACTCCACAATTTAAAGGAAAAGAACACACTAAATCTTGTTTACTAATGGAGATATTTTTCAGTTTTCTATTTTTGTTTTCCGATCTCAAATTTTCTGTTTTCATTTTCCTGTTTTTCTATCTCCAATTTTCTGTTTTCATTTTTTAGTTTCCATTTTCAAATCTGAAAACATGTTCATCAAACTTTTTCACCCGATTCTGTGACCGACCAGAAAACTGAAAGTACGGTACCAGCCCGACAGCCCCCCGGGCGTAGCGTTGGGCGGCAAGTTCGGACTTCATTGTTTTTTCATACCCCGATGCATCAAGCTGCCAGACAGGGGGGTGGCATCATTATTAGCAGGGTTGGGGACGAGCGCACCAGCCTCAGACCCCAAATCAGAGCGGGGAGCAAGGAAGAAGGAAAACCCGTGGTCCTCAGCCAAGTATAGCTTGCTTAGAGCCACATCCAGAGCAGCATGAAGTTTCTGCTTCTCCTCGGCGGCAGCCTCCCTCTCTAGACGTGCAGCTTCTCGCGCCGCATTCAGGGCCTTTTCGGCCTTCTGTTTTAGCCTGCAGGGCATCATGGTCCCTTGCTGTTTCAGACTGTAGTAGGTACAACTCGATTTGCAACAATGAGTATAAGTGAGGGAATGAACGACATACGGAAGATGAAATAATCAAGAAAGGTATTCACGCATACCTGGAGAGCCGTTGTCAAGGCGTTGTTAACAGACTCGACGGACGGATGGGGCAGCAGTTGCACGTTCGCATTCCTCACCTTCCAGTACAACCACCTCCGATCTCCGAGAAAAATGCCATCTTGTGTAAAAATGTCACATTTCTTTGAAATTGCCATGAAAATATGACATTTTTACTCTTTGAAAATATCCAGCTTTCTTTTCAAAATTGCCATGACATTTTTCTCCATCTTGGCAATCTTTTCTAGCGATCGGAGGTGGCGGTGCTGGAAGGTGGCTGTGGTGGTGGTTGAGGTCCGTATATTTATTTATTTATTTATTTATTTATTTATTTATTTATTTATTTATTTATTTATTTATTTATTTATTTATTTATTTATTTATTTATTTATTTATTTATTTATTTATTTATTTATTTATTTATTTATTTATTTATTTATTTATTTATTTATTTATTTATTTATTTATTTATTTATTTATTTCATTTTAATTTTTTTTTATGTTTTATAATGATTATTTTAAAAAACATATTAGGAAGGACAATGAAAAGGGTAAAATAGAAAGAATTAGTCTTATTTTGAGAATTTAAACATTAAACTTTTATTATTGCAATTATCCTCTCATATAGTCCTAAATCAGTTCGTATACGGTGCAACCGGCTCACTATGAGCATCATGCCCCTGTGCCAAAAACGACGCTGTTTGAAGCTTGCTGCTCCCACCTGAAAAAATCGCGTGTTATTGTTCACGCGCATGAACAATAACCTTTGTTTTTGTTTTTTCATTGTCCAAGAGCAGAATGATGTAACTCGCGTGTAATGAAATGTAATTCACGCTGTTAAAAAATGTAACTGCACACATGTCGAAATGTAACTTGTCTAATACAGATAATAAGAAATAAAATATTGATTTCAATGAAAACACTAAAAAAGAAAATCTAAATGCACAATTATTCTACTTAAATCATGAATATTTTTTGTTTTTAATAACATGACCATGAAAAGGATTTTAAAAAAATCAATTTTTTTTGTTTCAATAGTAGGGGTTGTTTTTTTTATGTAACTTGTGTTATTACAAATGTAACTCGTGTTTCCAGCAATGTAACTCACATTGATAAGAAATGTAATTTATGTCAAGTTAAAATGTAAGTTATCTAAAATAGAATATAAGAATTAAAACATTGATTTCAATGTAAATAATGAAAAATAGGAGTTTTATCCCTTTGAATGGAGTGGAGTGTATGTATATGAAATACAATATACTTATTTTACGTGGGTTAATAAAATTTTGTAGTAAAGAAAGAAGTTAATTCAGTTGTAATTTAATTACTTAAACATAATTAGATGCAACAAAAATAACAAATAACTAGATGTAACTCGCGCATAATTAGATGTAACTCGCGCATAATTATATGTAACTCACGTATAATAAGATGTAACTCACACATAATAAGATGTAACTCGTACATAAGAAGATGTAACTTCAAATGTAACTCCAAGAATCAAAATAAACAAATTCAATGTCTTAAACATTATTAAAAACATATAAGAGATAAAAAAATTGTAGAAAAAGTGTATGCATATAAAAATATATTACCAAAAGTGTATGAATATAAAAAATATACTTCCTGCGTTCTTTTTTAGTTGCAACGGTCAACATTTCACACTTGTCAACGCACATCTTTGACCGTAATTATATCTTAATCCCTATTAGTAAAAAATATTTAAAAATTAGATTTTGAAAACTTGTAATGAGATGAATTGAACAATATAGTTTAAAAATAATAATTTTCATAAAAAAATAATATAAAATGTAGTCAAAGTAGAACATGTGAACAGTGTAAAATTCAACATGTTGCGATTAAAAAAAGACGGAGGATAGTATTACAAAAAAGTGTATGAATATTGTAACTATTACAGAAATATAAGTAGTGTATCAATATAAATGCAATATACTTATTTTATTTATATTTATAAACTTTTCGTTATGTATTGATAGAGAATAAAAAAGTAGATTCAATTATTATGTAGGTGAATTAATAAAATATGCTTTTTATGCGGATTAATAAAATATAAAATGGCTTACAATACACTTATTTTATGTGGAATAATAAAATTTTGTAATAATTTGGTTAAAAAAAGTAAATTCATTTATATTTTAATTAGTTAAAGATAAAGACAAGTAAAATCACAAATAAATTTTTAGTATTTTGATTAAAGAGAAAAGAATTGAAGAAAATGGAAAATAAAAATAAAGAGAAAGCAAGTACTTACCTGGAGGAAAGAGGAAGAAGGCTTCCGTAATATTGGACATTTTAAACTGTTGGAAGCATGGGGAAAGCAAAAAACGGCACCACATTAGAATCGACATACCATGCGCATAGTTAGGGTTGTAAACGAATCGAATCGAGTCGAATAATGAGATTTTGTATTTGTGTTTGTTTAATTTTTTCGAATACGAATTCGAATTGAAGTATGAAACGAATATTAATTTCGATTTGTATTTGTTTAACAGTACGAATCGTTAACGAATCATATACCAATATCGAATCGATTTGAGCATAGATTAAATATCAGTCAAATATCACTTTAAAACAACTTTTCTTATACTCTGCATTTTTATGTTGTAAATGCATGCGATGACTTATTATTATTATTTTTGAAACTTTTTGAAATAAACACTAACACACACATATTAGAAATTATACTTAAAATGTGTGAAATAAGTTGATAATTGTATATATCAAAGTCAAACAACTCTAATTTTATTCTTCAAATCAAATAAATAATTATTTGTATTGTATTTGAAAGACATTTGAACAAAAAATTGATTTGTATTCGTATTTAATTATATTCTGATTTATTACAAATGAGCTTGAAATTTGGATGCAAAAATGTATATATGTAGGTGCTACACAGTGATGGTATTGCTATCTTTTAAAAGTTATTATTATTAATATTACCACTACTATTAATCGAATATATTTGATTATTATTCGAATCGAATACACTAGTATTCTTATTTCTGTTTGATAACAACTCGAATCAAATTTAATATTTTTATTTTTATTTGTATTTGAATTTTAGGAATTCGAATCGTGAATGGAGCCATCAATATTTTATATCGATTGCAAGGTATAATTTGTGATCCTAATTAGTGGTATTTAGGGAAATCCTAATTCGTTCTTTGGATTCAGCAACAAAACGCTCACTTCGCTTCACTTGATCGAGTCAACTTTCTTTCAATTCCCCTCCTCTACAATGGCTTCCCCTAAACCGATTGCAGTTCTATCGATTCTTTTATTGTTTCTCATTTCCTTCCAAACGCCGTCGTGTGCTGAGAGCACGAATGGAGCTGCCGCCGCGGATGAGGAAGAGGATCTCAGCTTCCTGGAAAAAGACGACGACTCATTTTCTTCACACTCCGATCCGTACGGCCACGAGCATGACTACGAGAATTACGACGACCTCGCGGAAGATCCCGAGGCCTTAGATCACGGCTACGACGACTCCTTCCAGCCGCCGACAGTGGACGAAAAGGACGTTGTGGTGCTGAAGGAGGGAAATTTCAGCGATTTCATCGCTAAGAATAAGCACGTGATGGTGGAGTTCTACGCGCCGTGGTGCGGACACTGCGAGTCCTTAAAGCCGGAGTACGCGGCAGCCGCCACTGAGCTCAATGGTCACGGGGTGGCGCTTGCGAAAGTGGATGCTACTGAGGAGACCGAGCTAGCGCAGAAGTACGAAGTACAGGGATTCCCCACAGTATACCTATTCGTTGATGGTGTTTACAAGACCTACAATGGCCAACGGACCAAGTAAGCAGCTTTAGTCTTTCTCTTCTTCTTTTAGACCGTTTACTTACATGAAGTTTGAACAGTAGATCATCAAGTGCCATTTGAAATATATTTCTTTTTAAGCGAGGCGGTGATAATTCTTATGCCTCTTTGGTAGCACAGTAGCATTCTTTTTGTTTATTCTGCTGATCAGCACAATAAACAGCCCGCCTTTGAAATGGGTTTTACTATATGCTATTCCTTTCAGAAAGTTAGCAGATTTAGTCATTTCATTTCAATGAAACAATTCTGATCAAACGAGCTCTTTAGTTTCATACATGAAAAGTAGAATGGGCAGTAATTGCAAAACTTGGGGAGGATTTTTTTTAGATTAGTCTTCATACACATTTATTGCAGGGATGCTATTGTTGCATGGATAAAGAAGAAGACTGGGTCAGCTCTATTCAACATAACAACAACAGAGGATGCAGAGCTCATATTGGAAAGTGAGCCGAAAGTTGTTTTGGGATTTTTGGACAATTTAGTGGTAACTCTCTACACCCTGAGCTTTTATATTTACTTGTGCAAATTAGTGAGTTACGCAAAAGTGAAGCTTGATGGTGGTTCCATTTTATTGTGATAGACAATTGAAACTAAAGTTTAATCAGCAGCCTCTTGGATTTAAAATTTTATGTGCAGGGCTTAATGTCTTGATGCTTACTTCCTTTCTTTATAATTTTATCAATCAGCACCTGAAAGATAGATTAGCTATCAGTAAGGGACCCGAGAGATAGAAAATTGTCAATACCGGACCCGAAAGATATAAAACTAGTTTTCAATCATTCGGGCCCTATATTGACAATTTTATTCTTTGTGTCTTGATTTATAGTTAACCTACCTTTCAAGTTTTAGATTGATAGAATTCCTACTTGTTTTATATGGAGAAGGTTCCGAAATAAGTATACGTATATGTATTGCATTTTCTTCCATGCTTCTACATTATATTCGTTCACATAATGCCTGCAGGGCCCACACAATGAAGAGCTTGCTGCTGCTGCAAAACTCGAAGATGATGTCAGCTTCTATCAAACTTCTAATCCTGATGTAGCTAAGCTGTTACACCTTGATACTGAAACCAAGCGTCCAGCTCTTGTCTTGATTAAAAAAGAAACTGAAAAAATCAACCGTTTTGGTCAGATTTCTGAATGATGTTTGTTTAGAGATCTAAAATTCAAATCACACTGTGTTCAGTACTAACAATAATTTAATGTTCTTGCAGATGGTGAGTTCACAAAAGCAGCAATATCTGAATTTGTTAATGAGAACAAGCTTCCTCTTGTCAACTACTTCACTAGGGAAAGTGCATCACAGATATTTGAAAATCCAATCAAGAAACAGGTGAAACTTAAGCTGATCTTGTCCTTAATGTAAATTCTTGATCTGATCAATTGCCAGTCTTTTTGCTCTGTATATTCTTATATAGTTCTTTTAGTGCCAATGTGGTAACCAGCTAAGAAACATGTAAAAACAGCCATTCTTTGAGCTTTTACATGACATACCTTTACCTTTCAAGGAAATATATTGACATATTGTTTATGCTAAGTTGCTAACACCTTTCTTTGTCCTCAGTTAATTCTTTTTGCCAGTTCAAACGATTCAGACATTCTTCCCGCATTCCAAGAAGCTGCGAAGTCTTTCAAAGGAAAGGTGTGCATTCAACAATTTTTTCACAATTTATGTACCTATATTTGAATTTGATATTTTGAATACAATATATTTGCATGTTACTTTCATGACAAGGAAATTGGCAGGACTTACCGCATACATTTTGTTTGGGTGTGTTTTCAATTTGAAGTATAGCATGATCCAAGTAATAAGAAGTACTGTTTCACTGTGTTCTATGTAGTCTGGTTTTTATTGCAAAGAATTTTTATTCTTTCCCCAATAATCAGTTACCTTGCACAGTATCAATATGCTGTCTTCAAGTCCAATAGTATTGTATGAATATCATATTAAGAAATATTAAATGACATTCTATGAGATAAAAGCTGGTGATTGTTTTATTTTTCGTCTACAGCTTGTCTGTGTTTTTGTGGAAATGGACAACGAAGATTTTGGAAAACCAGTCTCAGAATACTTTGGCATTACAGGAGATACTCCACAGGTGACTCATTATTCTTTAGTACAGAACTGGTTTTTTAAGCTCATAAAACATGCCTTGTCAGACTTTTCAACTACTGTGTAATACTGTAATTAGAGGTATGATTTCAGGTCATTGCATATACGGGAAATGATGATGGGAGGAAGTTCTTGTTGGAAGGTGAATTGACCTCAATCAATATCAAGGTTTGTTTAGTGGCATTACTCTGGATTTGCTCCATTTAAACTTTAAAGATATCACAGCTTCATGGGCGCGTAATGTCAACAACAACAACAACATCCGAGCCTTAATCCTCAAAAAATTTGGGGTCGGCTAACATGAATCGATCCATGATATTGATGCCAAAAAGAGAAGACAGACAAGAAGAAAAAAAGGATAAAACGATAAAAGATAAAAGATTGAAAGATTAAAAGACAAAAGAGCATAGAAAAACTAGAAGATAAAAATAACATAGGAGCATAATGTCAACAAGAAACACTTTTTTGTTTCTTCAATCTCTGGGCAGATTCAGTTTATTATATTCTCTTTCTTTTACTTGCCATCTGTTTTTCTTAACCAAGGCTCATACTTTTGGGTCCAATTAGATCTGGGAAGATGCTACAGAAAGTAAATAGAAATGAAAACCCAAAAATGGGAAGAAAGTTGGAAGGAAATAAAATTTTGGGGGAAACTAAGAATAGATTTGAACTCAAGAAACCAGTTTTAGAAAATTGTTTGATTTGATTTAAATATTTCTGTTATTAGTACACTAATAATTCTAAATATATGTGAAAATTTGAAAAGATTTAATAAAATTTGATTTATCTTCCAATTTTTTGGGCAATAACAAACATGAAACATCATTTTCCTTGGTATATCCCCCCTGCCCACCATGTGGTGAGTGGGAGAAGTTTTAATTGCACAAATTTTAAGAAATATATGTTAAGTAGGAATAATTTACTTGACAATTGACATACAATTCTCACATTAACCCTTCTGTAATTTTTTTAATGTACAAGTCATATACTCATATGTGGGAATAATTTAATTGGTCATATAAATAGGGTGTTAATCTCCAAATGGAAAATTAAACGCACACCTAGTGTAGAAACTGTCAAAGTGGTCTATTTTTTAGGGCAGGCCAAATTGGACTATAGCCTATTTACATAAGGAAAGCATTTTTTGTTAATAACAAGAAGGGTAAGGAATGTAGAACTTGTGGATAGAATATAAATAAAAGTAGTCGTGATACATTTATTCCTCTAAATTGACTGGGATTCACATCCTTGTGCTGGAGAGCATCGATATGTCATATTTATAGGCGGTGAGTATGAAGAGATTACTTGATATCGAACATAAATTTACAGTAATGTTTCTTAGTGTATTTTTGTGGCTATTTTGGATTTATCTTTTCATTGTATTTTCTCATGCAGTCCTTTGGGGAGAAGTTTTTGGAAGATAATCTAAAGCCCTTTTACAAGTCTGAACCTATTCCAGAAAAGGTAAGTTAAGACGTCAGTACTGTAATCGTTAGCTAATTCTTCAATGAGTCAATCCCAATATCCAATGCTCACATACTACTGATACAGAATGATGGTGATGTCAAAATAGTGGTGGGCAACAACTTTGATGAAATCGTTCTTGACGAATCTAAAGATGTTCTTCTTGAGGTACATTTAGTCCCTTCGTCACCACCAGTACACATGCCAATACTTTAATCAATAGCCAATTCTTCAATGAGTCACAATCCCTTCATCACCACCAGTAACTTTGAATATTGTTCCCTGATTTATATATTTATCAGATATATGCTCCTTGGTGTGGGCACTGTCAATCACTAGAACCTATATACAACAAGCTCGCCAAGCATTTGAAGGGAATTGACTCGCTTGTTATTGCCAAGATAGATGGGACAATGAATGAGCACCCTCGAGCCAAGGTACTTTTTATAGATGAACCAAATATGAAATGGCCGCTTTCCATGATTGATTCTCCAAGGGTCATTTTGCAACTTGGGAACGCTACGGAAAAAATAGAGGAAAATTGGAAATAAAAGAAAATGTGACAGAAAATAAAATATAAGATCAAAATTCAAACTCAAATTCCCAAATATATTGTATGGGTATTTGTTCAACCTCATTGTATTTAATTCTATTATACAAACCCTAGAAACATAATTATATGGAAATTCTGGAAAGATGAACCATATTTCATCTTGCCTTTGCATTCTGTTTAAGGCTTAGAAAAAGATTAAACAACTTTCCTTGGACCTTTTTTTGCCTTGCCTTGGAATTTTGTTCTACTCAAACATGCCCTAGGCATGTATTTTAGTAAAAAAAACTTCAGTTGCTCCGGCCACTTGGGGCATGATATGTGTGAACTGTGATGAGGATGTGAATTGTTCAAGTGGCCCCGCCCCATACAGGCACACATGAAAACGGTCCTTCACAGTAACACTGAAGTGTTTCTTGCACCTAGGACCTCAATAACAATAGTTATAATAATGCAAACTGTCTCCACTTCTTTCTTTGTTATGAAGCAACAGTCAATCTCCATGTAATTTTAAATGCGATTTTCACTTTGGGTCATCTGGAAACAGTCTCCCTGCTTTAGTACAGGGGTAAGAGTGTGTACATTCGACTCCCCCTTACCCCACCATCGGTGGGAGCCTTTGCGGTAGTGGGGTAATGATGATGATGATGAATGCAAATCTTATTTATGATTGACTTGGTTGCAGTCTGATGGATTCCCGACACTGCTTTTCTTCCCAGCTGGGAACAAGAGCTTTGAGCCTGTAAGTAGTATATCCTTCATTTTTCCAAGCCTTTTAAAATATATTGTCACGCCTTTTAAAATATATTGTCACTTGAGAATGTAGCAATCTAATATTTTATATTTGTATCCTCCCCTTTCCCAGCTTACAGTGGATACTGATCGTACAGTGGTTGCCTTCTACAAATTCTTGAAGAAGCATGCATCCATTCCTTTCAAGATTCAAAGGCCCGTTATTTCTCATAAATCTGAGAGTGAGATGTCATCACTCGATAAGACTACTACCACCAGTGATGTAAAGGATGAACTATGAGATATTTATCTTGGAGGCTCGAACATAGACCCATTGTCTCTGCCAACCTTAACAGAGAGAGGCTACAAGAAGAGTGGAAGTCGAGAAAACAACACCCTCTTATGACAGAGGCTTATACAGCCCCCCCCCCAATAAATGCATTTTTGTTGTGTTTAAATTATATACGAGTATTTAAAATATTGATTACCGGCAAACCACCTGTCAGAATCTAGTTAGAAGCAAGTGTTATGAAACCTCATGTTGCCTATACTAATGGGCCTATCCTAATTCACCCATCCTTTTATCCCTAATTCTAATTATCCCTGGAAATAGATAGCTCCAATGTAAATATGCATTAAAACTTTTAGGGAAAAGGTGCAAATAGGTCCATATACTAACCAAAAAAGGTCAAATAAGTCCTTATTTAGGAGGCTCTGTCCGGCCGTCGCCATTTGGGATAAATCCCGTTGGATTTTTTTGATGAAATTTTTTGAGCATCTTATTCATCAAGTCTAGTTTAGTCATACCAAATTTCAGCTAAAACTTAAATCGCGAAGGCATTCAAATGAATTCTTGAAAATAACTGCGCAGTTAGAAGCACAATTATCTTCAAGAATTCATTTGAATGTCTTCCCGATTGAAGTTTTAGCTGAAATTTGGTATGACTAAACTAGACTTGATGAATAAGATGCTCAAAAAAATTCATCAAAAAATTCCACCGGGAACCACCTCAAATGACGACGGCCGGACAGAGTCTCCTAAATAAGGACTTATTTAACTTTTTTTGGTTAGTACATGGGCCTATTTGCACCTTTTCCCAAACTTTTAAAATATTGTTTACTATCTTCATTATTTTAGAACTTTGGATACTTGCACTTTTAATTTCAAAATTGTAATTGTGTGGCTTATTTCTCATTTTAAATTAATGACTTATTGATTATATTTATATTTTGAGATGCACTGGTGTATATGATATAAATTTATTTCTAAGTATCTTGAAAATGTAAAAACATTTCAATCTCATGAATGGGTCGTAGAGGACAATATATGATATGTTTTAAAAATGTTTTTTTATTTATAAATACACCCCTATAACTTTTAATATTTATAAATATAGTCTCATAACTTTTAATATTTGTAAATATGGCCCCTATCCGTATCCTACTTTTTTGGGTTTTGTCGTATCCCCGTACTTGTTTCCGTGTTTCTGTGTACCCTTATCGGTGCTACATAGATAAAGATTGTTGAGTTTGAACTCGAACACAGCTACTACTAAATCGAGTCAAACTCAAACTCTAGGTGTCTGGGCTCGGCTCATTAACAATCCCGGATTCGATTATCAGAAGTTTCAGAAGGGAAAGTTCACGTAAAATTAGCCACCTTGTGTCATGTTATTGTTAGTTAAGGATTTACAATGACTAATTGTAAATTTGTTTCTTTCAATAACATTTAAAGAAATAATTACATATTTATGACAAAAATAAAGAATATTTATAAAAATGTGACTAGTGACTAGAGTAGTAATGAAATAATAGTAATTTATGTTCAAGTTTTAAACTTAACTTACCAAACACTATATTGTAGTAACTATTAATTATATTTATGTAAAACAAATATTTTAGTAATATTTGTGAAAATAATCTAATATTTGAATGGCTTTAGTATTTAAAATTTAATATTTAGAAATTAAATTAAAAGTTCGACTGACTCAGAAAGATAAAATTGGATTCGTAACAAATTAACGCTCAAAATCAGAAAATAAAATGTAATTCTATTTATCATATAAACAATAAATTAACAAAATCTAGTGAGACAGAGAAATAGGAGGTTGATAAAAACTGGATAATAAGCTAAATATGTCTTAGCAAATGAGCGTTATATCTTATTGTTTCTTAAACCTGTTCATTTTAGAATGAAACTTTTTAATCAAGTTTTGTTTTGTTTGGTCTATTAACAACTTTGCTCTTCTTTAGTCTGTGACATCTGTAAATCTGTTCTATCATATACTCACTCCGTCTCTCTAAGACCATTTGGGGTGGTGAGGTATTAGGAGTCCAAATTGTTTAAAAATGATATTTTAGGACTCATAATTTTATACATTGATGGCTTATAGAAGGTATTAAAAGTGGGTATTGGGAGGGATGAGGTTAAATATAGAGGAGGATTGACAAACAAAAAGTAAATGGAAAATAAATTAAAATGGGGTGAGTGGGCCAGTGGGGTGGGCGCAGAGGGAAATGGCCAGGTGTGGCCCGCGGCAGTCTTGTTGCGCATTGAAGAAAATGAGCTTAGGGAGTGTTTGCAACTGCTTCTGCTTAAAAAAAAAGCACTTTTGGAGATGTAAGGAAAAAGTGATTAATAGGAAAAGTCGATAGTGTTTGAGAAAAAAGTGATTTTGAAAAGTAAAAGTTGATAGTGTTTGGTAAAATAAGTGCTTTTTGTGTAATAGAAAGGGGAAAAGCACTTTTCACACGCAAGCCGAGAAAAAGTAAAAATTGGTAGTGTTTGATAAATAAGTGCTTTTTAAAGCCAAAAGCTGAGAAGTGCTTTTTTTTAAGTGATTGCAAACACTCCCTTAGTGATGTGATCTTCTGTTGTCGTCGTTCAAGGCAGGCTTCATTGCAATTAGTCTCAAAGGATGGCGGGCTTTTTGGGGATGAGTATATAGTAATTTAGAATTGTTGGGACTCAGAAATTTGGCATTTGTCCAACTTTGACGCATTACTTCAATTTAGTGCCCCTTTGGAGGTCAAAAAATGGGCTTATAAGCCTCAAAATACAAAAAAAAAATGCCAAACACCCATGTAATGGGCTGATTTGGCTTATCAGCCGAAAAATCTAGTCCAAGCTTACTTTTTCAGCTGAAATTGATTATTTCACTGAAAGGACAAATTTACCCTTCCAATCATGGAGAACATTTTCTTGCTTCCCTGCATAAGTCCCTAAGGGCCTGTTTGGATGAGGTGTTTGAAAGTGTTAGTAAGGGCTCGGAAGGGAAGGGAAGTGTAAGTGTTAGACATAATTTTACCTTGTTTGGGAGAGTCAAATGAATGAAGTGTTAATAATGGAAGTGTTAATAATTTTACCTTGAGGCAAAAGAAACGAGTAAAGAGAAGAGATGAAAAAACAAACCATCAGACCCGTGGGAAAGACATTCGAAGTGAAATGTCGAAGAATTTTATGTTTTTCGGGTAAATGAGAAGGGTAATAATTGCCCAACACCTCAAAACACTCCAAATCGTTAAAAAAATGGACAATTGAGGTGTTGGGAGGGTTATTATTAACACTTTCTAACCATTACTAACACTTCTTAACACCTCTGGATTTTTCTCTCAAACAAGTGTTAGCATCAACACTTACTAACACTTCCATTACTAACACTCCTCAACACTAAATCCAAACAGGCCGTAACTATTCATCTTCTTTTCTAGTTGTGCGCATCGATTCATCTGAAACCAAACAGCCACTGTTTAGGTTGCAAGCAATTTTACCTTCCTCTCCGGCTCAAGCTCCTTCTGCACGGACTACAACTCAAAATTCTTCTCCAAACTTCACCTGCTCCACACTCACACACCTTTTCTTCTCCTTCATCAGTTCATACGCTCATACAGTCATACCCCCTGTTTCTTCCTCCCACCCTTCCTCATCAAAACCATCCAGCACCGTTTGAAATTTCATGGTTGTTCACTTGATTTGGTCCCCTCGGAATCAAATTGAAATATCATTAATAACGTTAATTTAATGGGAAGAAGACAATCAATTTTGCTTGAGGTTGGATGGGAAAATCTTCTAATCCAGATCCAGTACTTTCTGATCTGATCAAGTGGGATTACTAGCAGACAATAGTTGGGAAAATCTTCAAGTAAACCCAGATCCAGTACTTTCTGATCTGATCAAGTGGGATTCAATATGCTAGGATTACTAGCAGAAAATTTGTAAACAGACATTTCCCAATTAACGTTATTAATGCTTGGATGGGAAAAAACCATTTAGTACACACTCATACATTTAAAACACAAACATGCCCTAATACCCTTTAGGGTAATTTTACATTGAATCACTCATTTCAATCATTATATTACCAAACACTTTCACTTCAGCAAATTCAGTCTTTTCAGACTTTTCAGCCGTTACAGCCAATGCAGTTGTTACCAAACAGACCCTTAGGAATTAGGAGGAGGTCAAAGCGTTGGTTTTTGGGGGATCAACATGGGTGGAGGGTGGTGGCGGAAGTGGAGGCGGCACAGGTGGCGAGCGGGGAGCGGTGAAGACAGATTGGCGGCCTGCCCTCTCTCCTGAGTTGTTGTCTTGGAGCGATCGAGATGCCAAACTTTGGAAAATAATATTCCAAGAAAACTTTCACTAAAGAGCCTGGAGTATTTATGAGATTTCATTTTTTATGATTGTATTTTCGCATTATGTTTGTTTATGTTGTTTTTTATTTATGATTTTAGTTTTAGGTGTACATTAATGATTGACAATTCTGCTAGATATTATGTCTCTGGAATGATCTATATACCCAGTGTTTACTGTGTTACACTCATTTGTTGATTGACGATTCATATTGCTCTTTCAGGAGTGACAATTTTTAAGTCTAACTGCAAGGTTGGTAGTGCTAATTGATTACAAATAGTTGTTGTCGGTGTTGGTCTGTTGTAAGATATTTTTATTTGGATTATTTTTAGTTGTAAACCAGACCAAACCATATCAGATCAGATCAAATCAGACCAAACCAGACTAAACTAGTTCAGACATGAATAGTTATACAATACACAGAAATTAGACGTTTATCGGACCAGACCTGCTCAAACTAGACGAAATCAAATCAGACCAATCAAACCAAATCAGATCACAACATAAAATTTCAATCCTGCTAAAAAGTTTAATTGATCGTATCAGACCGGGTTGACCCAGAGACAAGAAGCTGATCATGTACAAACCCCTATTCTTGATGGGAAAATGGAAACTAATAATCCAACCTTTTAGCGGTCTTCTTTCAATAATCCCACCTTTTGACTATTCATGAATAATCCAACCTTTGCACCTCATCTTCATTTATTGGTCCCTGGTCGGTTAATGACCTACTATTCCAAGTTATTTTCTTATCTTTGCAAAATATTATCTTTGTGAAAGATGAGATTTATGGTATAATGATTTGCAAAGATAAGAAAATAGCTTGTAATAGCAAGTCATCAACCGGTCATGGACCAGTGAATGAAGATGAGGTGCAAAGGTTGGATTATTCATGAATAATCAAAATGTGAGATTATTGAAAGAAGACCGCTAAAAGGTTGGATTATTAATTTCCATTTTCCTTATTCTTGATCGTATATCTAAGCTTATTTCCCACTATCTTTTGACACAAACATCGTTTCCGAGTTGATTTCCGAGCGAACTCCGATTCACTGGTATAACCCATCTTCCTTTCGCTTCCTCAGTGCTTTCTCCTTCTCCCCTGCTTGTTTTTATTTTTGTCTCTCCTTCCACTGTAGTGCGTATTATGGATTTAGATGTGCATGATCTATGGTTACATGAATGCATCGCTGCTACAAAATTGAGTATATGCTCTATATCTATTCCTCGGAATCCTTTTTTCCATTTGCATTTTTATTTTCCGACCATTTATTCTTTTTGTGAATTAATTGGGAGCTGGAAGATTTGATGGTTAGTGGAATTCTAATCTGGAATGTAATTTGGATATGTAATGTTGTAATTGGAATATGTTGAGTTTCTGCCTAGGTTGGAATAAGTACTTTTGGCCTGCTTAGGGTCCCTTTGATGTTGTTTTCAGCTTCTGCTCAAAACAACCTTTTCCTAATAATGCTTTACTTCTAAAAACAAGTTGAAAACGATCCTAACGAGACCTTAGACTCTAGATTCATCCTCCTGATTTAAGCTACTCATAAAGTCATGGGATGACTTCTTTCCTTGAGTCGAGCGGCCTGCCACCAACCTTCTAGAAACTTCTAGGCGAGAAAAAGGTCATGCTTTTAACATTTGTCATGCGTTGATTGGTATATATCAAGAACTTTTATCTATCTAATGAACGACTAATCCCATAGTCAAGTGTGGAGTATATATTATGATCTACAACAGCATTCTTAATTCGATCACTGGTCTAGTAGCTTTACTAGCTTCATCATCTTGATAGTCAGAACATACTTGGTTTGACCCATATCTTATTGCATTCATTAAGGTGTAGGTTGGTGTTTATAGACAACTATGGAATCTAACAGGGGGCCCCACAGTGGAGGAATTCATCTTTTGTTAGCTGCAGAGAAAGAAGCTCAGCAAGTTGTCACTGCTGCCAGGGCCAGTAATTTCTTTTTATTTTTCTCAACTCTCCTACTTCAAATAGCACATTTTACTACATTATCACATATATTTCTAATGCATATGGGTGGCGCGGGGGGAGGGGGTGTTTTAGTTAGTTATGTTATACTCAATCCATTCTTACTAGGTCAACTGTATAAACAGTTTCAAAAAATGTGTTGGGCTTGATAAAATTTTCAAAAGATACCCTCATTAAATGTCACCTTCTCATGCTTTTCCTCTTTGGAGAATAGAGTGAATTGAAATTTAGTATAAGAGGCGGCCTATGTTGGGGGATTTTTTTAATGTTCATGGATTTACTAAATGGATTGACAAAAAGGAAGTAGGGAAAATCGTATTTTTTTTTCAGGGAACACTTTCCATTATTTTATTTAAAAAAAGAACCATTACAGACAGAGAGTAGAAACATAAGGAGTAGTCTCTTAACCTTCTTGATTTTAGAAATTTTTATAGTTACTAACATAGCATGTGTATAGAAACTTTAAGTGGCAGATGAATTTCCAAACACCATATAACTTTTGAATAAATGTTTACGTGGCATGTCTTGCTTTTGTCTATGATGTTTCAATGCTTCATAGTGTGGATTGGGCTCCGGACTGAGCAATCGATGCCAGTTTTATTACTCTTGTTTTTATTGTGGATACAAATGATAGAGTTTCATTTTTTGCAGCGAAACAGGCGAGACTGAAACAGGCAAAGGAAGAAGCTGAGAAAGAGATAGCAGAGTTTCGGGCTAATTTGGAAGCTGCATTTCAGAATAAAGTATCCCAGGTAAATTGTTAAAGTGTCCGCATCTGCTAAACATAAAGAAGGATAATGATAAGGAGATGCGTTTGGTGTAATTTTATTATTCCCTAAACTCTAAGGGTTCTTCCTACCTATATCATTATCCATAGAAGAATGAATCTGTTAATAATACTACAGCTATCCTCGCTTCTCACTTTTTGAGAGCTCACCCAGGGTGAGTTAGACCTAACACTTACTCCTATCGTCTATCCAATTTCTTTTCTTAAGCTTATTATATCAAGTGTTGCAATAGCTTCATATAATGTTATCTAAAGCTAAGTAACCCCAGTTAATGTGCGGATGACCAGAGTAGCGGTGACTCGGGTGCAAATGTGAAGCGTCTTGAACACGAAACGGAGGAAAAGATCCAGCATTTAAACATGGACACTAAAAGAATCTCACACAGTGTTGTCCAGATGCTTCTGAGGCATGCTACCACGGTGGCTAACTGATTGTTTTCCTCTTAATATGGTACTGATTGAATAAAGAATTGTCATCTTTTGTTAATTGTTTGTTAATTGTGCCACAAATAAATGCAATTTGGATATTTCAGAGAGTAGGTGAATTGAGTTCCGCTGTAGCATAATAAGGTTCGTGATTTGTTTGAATAGATATAGCCATAAAATTAATAAGCATATACTCCGTATTTTATATAAGAAATCTAAGTCTTTGTGTTTCGGGAGATTATGGTCATAAGGCTGAAACTTAAAGGAATTGACGGAAGGCACCCACTGGATTTTGCAACTCATACCAAGCATCGCATTTCACTACGTTCTTCAATGATGCAAGAGCCGAGAAATATGTTGTCGAGAGTCATTTAGTTTCATAAAGCTTAGGGGCATGTCTACTTGGGTGTCATTCCTTTCCTTCATTTGGGAGGAGCGGATCTAGGCATGGACCGGGCTAGGCGGGCTCTGGTTCAAAAAAATTCAGTCTCGGTTCTGGCCTGGGTTAGTACTGGGCCGGGTCGTGTCGGGCTCTAATATTTTTTTTTTTTGGGTATTTTCGAATTAATTCCAACCATCCCCCAGTCCCCCCCAAACCACCCAGCCCCACCCACCTAGCAGAAAGCCCAATGCCAATTTTTTTAAAAAAAAAAAAATTAGGCCCGGACAGGGTCGGGCCGGGCCACAATTTCCAAAGCCCGTGGTCCGCCCCTATCCCTCCCGGTTCGGGCCCCCGGTACCGCCTGACCTGCACAGTATCGGGTCGTGTCGGGTCCAGATCGGGTCCAGGTTGGGTCAACGGGTTAACCCGTCCCAGTCCATCCCTAAGCGAATCATGTCCTCTGTCTTTGAACTTCAAGAGGAGAAATGTATCATATGAATGGCACTTTTTTAGAGAATTACTACGTATATGAATGGAACTTGCACATGGGTTAGTCCACCCTAAGGGGTGGAGGACGTTAAAAATTTAATAGTTAAACTTAAATTTAATTTAAAAAATTAATTATAAATGTTTAATTAATACTACGTAGTTAAACTTAAATACTCTCTTCGTCCCTTAAAACTTTACCAACTTTCCTTTTCTGGACGTCCCACTAACTTTGCCACTTTTCTTTTTTAAGTAAAGAATTTATGGTTCCGGTTAATTCTCTCTGCTCTGCACAAAATTCAACCACACATTTTTTATTTTATTAATTCTCGTACCAGTCAAACATGGCAATGTTTTAAGGGACGGGGAGTATAAAGATGTTCAAAAGTCAAAACGAAGAAATGAGGACGTCATATGAAGAATGCAACAAAACAAGAAACAAGAAAAAAACACATTTTTTATGTAAGGATCTTACAAATAAAATTTCCAACTTAGATAAATAAGATTATTCTATGTATACTCCTGCTTGGTGGAACATGTTTGAAGAATTGGATTTTCTTAAAGGCCTTTTTATTCCAATATTACTAAAAATAGGATAAAAGATAAAAAAAGTGATCTGTTTTTCAAAATTCCAAAAATGTGACCAACATCACAATTAACCCTGCAGTGTAAAGTGACTCCGGTCAAAGTGACTCCGGCCAAAGTGACTTCACCGACCACAGTGACTGCCCCACTGACCACAACGACTGCCCCGCCACCACAGCGACTGCCCCGCCGCCACAGTGACTGCCCCGCGGCCACAGGGACTCCGGCCACAGTGACTCCAGCCATAGTGACTTCGCCGCCACAGTGGCTATACCGCTACAGTGTCTTCATCGCCACAGTGACTACGCTGCTACAATGACTTCACCGCCACAGTGACTACGCCCCGCCACAGTGACTGCTTCCCCCGGCCAGTGACCACCGCCTCCGACCAGTGACTTCCCCGATTAGTGAACGCTGTCATCGCGCCAATATAATGACTGTCGACGCCCCCTCGGCCAGTGACTGCCAACGCACCTATTCAGAGTTGCCCCCGCCCTTGTCCAATGACTGTCGCCTCCTCTCGGCCAGTGACTCCCGCTCATCGCCGGCCATGTCCTTTGCCTAGGTCACTGGCGAGATGCCTGGCTAGCCACCACCGCCACCCAGACTCCAGCCACCTCCGCGGCCCAAGCTCTGGCCACCGATGCTCCCTGCCCCACGAACCTGTCATAGCCTTCCCCTACCGACAACTATTTCCGCAACCTTGTCATTGTCCAACCAGCCCCAACAGGCCACGCCCATGGCCCCACCCTGGGCTCGTCCTTCGCCTCTCGCACCCCCTTCCGACCCCATGTATGAATCTAAAATGAAGAAAAAATGGCTAGAAGAAGAACCGATCTAGATCTAGATCTAGATTTGCCGATGGAAATGAAAAGAGCAGCAACCCGCAAAGAGATCCGGATCGTCAGCTTAGATATAGAAATATGGACAAAAAAGTTAAGAAATAGAACAATTGTGGTGGGACAGCGATGTAAGGCGACGTGTGTTGAAGCCGGAGTCGACGGGGAAGAAGAAACCCTGCTCGGTGCTGCGAAGGACTGTAGAACTGCGTCGGTGCTGATGCGATGTGCAAAGAAGAAGCGAGCAGAAGTCCTGCGTGGAGAAGAAGCTCTGTAGCGAACTGAGAAGAAGATACGGACGAGGAGGAGGGTCACATTAAAATAAAAATAAAAAGAGGTCATAGTTTGGGAAATGCAAACACGGATACTAATATTTGGGGCAATTTTTTCTTTCTTAAATCTCCAAAAAAAATATATTAAAATCTTCAATATTATAGGCTCCGTACAATTATTATACACCATGTAGCCTTGTAGCGTTGACTGGTTGAGGATGGGACGCTATGGGAAGATTAAAAAAAAACTATCGTCCTAAAAAAACAATAGATAGGAGTATAATTTTTGGTACAAGATTTAACAAGGAATAATAGGGGTAGAATAAAAGGTATAGTGTGTTGTGTGCAAAGGAAAAAGTAGGAAAGAGAATGAAAATGTAGGAAAAAGGACGAGGGTTAAATGAGTATATTTATTGAAAAATTTACCAAAAATGAAAAGGGAGACAATTAATAGAGAACATCCGAAAATGAAAAGATGGTCAAGTATTAGAGAACCGAGGAGTAATTCTTTTAAAATTTCAAAAGAACTGATACCGTCCAAAAAAACACAAAACACAAGTCCCACTATGCACCATTACGTACGATTTGAACGATTTTTATACTATTTGGTTCTTGTAAATTATAAATAAAATAATAAATATAAATAACAAATAAATTAAGTGTTTAAGGATTATATAAGACTATAGGTTCACTGTGAAAATTGATTTTTCTCTCCTATGCATGATTGGCATGGGTCAAAAGAAATATAATTTTGAATAATCTTTATGAGATGCTCAAGAATTTAGGCATAATAAAGTAGTCATGACCACAAATTAGGTGTGTATATGAAATGGTTTCTATCACTTTAAATGCCAAAACAATGAAGATATTAATGAAAGAATGCTTATATAGGTGAAATAAATGTATAGAAACACACAATCCGATAATCACACAAGCACCTCCAATTTTTTCACGTCTTAGATTAAACACACAATTACTTGCACTAGAAAAGTGCATAGTAATTCACTAACTATTGAACACACAAGTTGTCAATAATAATTAATAGCCAAGTGGAAAAACCTGCCCTGTGGCTGTGAATCATTCACAACGAGCCCGTTTGGTAGCACCAAAATCGGCTGTTTTGGCTGATTTTGCTGAAATTTATGATATTCTGGCTGGAGTGGCTGTTTTGGCTGATTCTGCTGATTTAAGAAAAAAATATTTTAAAAATATATTTTATTAATAAATTAAAGAAAAAATTATATGTAAAAATAGCTAAAATGGTCCTCTACAGTAACTTCAGCCAATACAGTCAGAAAAGTAACTCCAACCTTACTTTTTCGGCTTATTACACAATTCAGCGCGCGAAAGTAAAAGTTACGTGTTTGGTGAAAAAGCTGGCTGATAAGCCTGATAAGCCGAAAATAGAGTTCTCCAAACGGGCTCAACATGTGTCTAGAAAACAATAAAAAAAAACTTCATATCGTCCTGACTAACGCAATTAAAAAACAAAAACCGATAACGTCTAAGAATAAAAATGAACGTATATAAATAAAGTTCCAGAGAGCACTGCGCAAAGTAACCCTGCATTGTTCCGAGCTAGCTTGTCCGCCTCAGGTCGCCCCAACTTCGTTTTTTATCGCCACTTTTCTCCAGCTCCATGAGTGTGTCACTACAAAAAACATCGAAATAGGCACGGGCTTGGCACGGATTGGACGAGTTTGGGACGGACCGTAACTTATTTTTGGCACAGCGCCGTGCCAAATAGTCGGTGACAAAACGACTTTGTCACGGAATTTGGCACGGATTTAACGCATTTATGCCAAATCTGTGCCAAATACCCTACAAATTTTGCTAAATTCGTGCCAAAGCTCCGTGACAAATTTGTGCCAAAACCAACCTCATATCCAAACCTAGATGGAACCTTGCCACGACAAAAAACAATGCCTTTTGTCGAGCAACGTGCCCCCCTGGACGAAATCAACTGACAAAACAACAAACGTAGTTAAAAATCAATGCCTTTAAGCTATTTTATCATATAATTTTTCCTTTATTAATAAATAATTTTACATATAATATTTTAATGAATCAACAGATTCAGTCGAGAAAGCCATAACTTTATCAATTTCCGGGAAAACAAATCGATTCATCCATTTCTAGTGTTACCAAATGAGCTCATGATTATTGAGATTTTATATATCTCACATAAATATAGACTAATTTAAATCTTTAAACTAGATCAAGTTCAACTAAGACTAGATCTAATAATTAAATTTATTTACAAATTAATGAGCATATGGCAAAGTTATTGGCCAACAAATTTTTTATACTATGTGAAGGGCTCAAGGAGTAATTTTTTTATTTTATTTATTTGATACTATCTCCGTCTCATCAGATTTTGTCAACTTTTAATTTTATTTATCTCAAAAACTATGTCACTTTTCTTTTAAAAGTAAATAATTTATATTTTTTTATTTCTCTTTTCGTTGCACAACTCTTTATCACACAAATTTTAATTTTCTTAATTCATATAACATAAATTTGACGATATCAAACGAGACAAAAGTAATAATTTCTTCATAAATTAGCATGCATATACACTATTCATTTCAGTTCATTTCAATAAAAAAATGACGAAATTGCTGAAATAGGATAAAAAACGTTTCAAAAATTCAAAATGAGATTGTCATGTTTTTA